CCTTTGTTTATTGAAAACCAAACAACATAGTACTTGGAAAGGGTTTCATTCCATTCTCCTACATTCCCTTTGTTCATTCCATTCTTATTCCCCCGCGCGAACCAAACGGCCCCTAATTTCAACTCTATTAAACATTAAACATTATAAATCATCTTTTGAGAAACCTATTATCTCTCTTTAAAACATTCTAACTTGCTTTTTTTACTTGTGCTCTCTTAGTTTTTCGCACTTAACTTTAAAGCATCAACACTTAGCCTTGCTTATTACTTTAGGGAGCCTTGACTAGAGGCAGTGGTGATTCTGGTAGGTTGTATACTTGTGTACAAAAAGACAAATACTCGGCATTGGAAAAAAAAAAAAGAGCTTAAGATAAGGAATCATATTAAACCATCCCAGTAACTAAAAAAAACTTATGTAATCTACATTAAATGGGTTTATGCAAGAACAATCTTTTTGCAGCTCCAAATTTGCCATTTTGCAACAAAACAAGGAGAGAGTAAAAACTATAGCAATGACATATTTACATTACTAATAGTTGAAAAAGTAGACAATAAACAGAAAATTAAAAACCTTTTAACATATCAAAATTTTCACTAATTCATTGTAATTTTTCAATTAAATTTCAAGATGATGTATTGAAATAATTTTCACTAATTCATTGTAATTTTTCAATTAAATTTCAGAATGAATTTTTTTTTTTTTATGAACAATAATAAAAATTTCAATAATTTTAATTTCCACAAACTCACAAATTGCAAAACCAATAGTAGGGCTGTCAAAAGCTGACACGACACGAACCCGACTCGAAATAAGCGGGTTTGGGTCAAGAATTCTTGACCCGTTTAAATAATTGGGTCGACACGAACACGACACGTAATTAAACGGGTTAGGTTTGGGTTGAAAATTTCAACCTGAAACCGACACGCATAACCCGATTATGTAAATGGGTTGAACGACAACCCGTTAACACGAACCCGACACGCTCAACCTGATCATTAAGTAGAAAAAGAAACCTGAATTTTTTATTCTAAACTTTTTTTTTTTGAAACATTATTCTAAACTTGTACTGTACTGGTTGTAGAAAACATTGGCGTTATACTTAAATTTTGGGGATTGTTTGGCGGTTTAATTTGGCGGACAAATAATTTTTTTTTTTTAACTTTTTTACATTTCACTTTTCCACTTTAGAGGATTCTAGATAGTACTCAGTTACTCTTTATTTAAGACTTAATCATATATGTAATCCATGAACTTAAGTACGGATGCATGTTTTAGAAGTTGTCATTTTGAAGGTTGAGACTTGGGACAACTCTTATGTATTGGTTGGGTTGCTAAAACCATCATCTTTATGTTCTTGTAGTATCTTTTGCCAAAATCAGTAGCTTTAATCTCTTGTAGTATCGTTAATGATGTATGTCTTTTTAATTATTATGTTGAATATTAATTAGTTTATTATATATTATGTGGGTTAAAAGGTTACCCAGGTAACCCGTTTAATAAATGGGTTAGGTTTGGTTCAAGGATTTTCAACCCGTTTAATAAATGGGTTAGGTTTGGGTCAAGGGTTTTTCAACCCGTTTAATATTGACACGAACACGACACGACACGACACGACACGTTTGACAGCCCTAACCAATAGAATAACTCAAATATTACGAAATTAGGGTTTATATTATTTTTAAAAAATTCAAGTGATTAAAACACTTACAATTATTATGAGTTTAATCATTTTTGGGTGTTCATTGATGTGATTGGCTAGGGGTGAAACTAATGTGGTTTAAAATCGAACCAAACCGCATGCAAGTCAAACCGAATTATAAATATGGTGCGGTTTTTTTCTAATATGGTTCGGTGCGGTTTGAGAAATTCCGAAATCGAATTAATATGGTATGGTTTCGATTTTAAAATTTGAAAAACCATAAACCAAAATCCAAACCGAATTATTTTCCATATCCAAATTATACCATAACCCAAAACTATATATAAAGTGAAAGGGGGTTTTCGGTGATAAATATCCCTTTCAGTTTTTTTTTTTTTTTTTAAAGGAAAAAAACCATTAAAATATAAATAATTACCGTGTTTTTTAATACAAAAACTTTTGTATACACCCGGTTTCCACTAATATTACTGTACATCGAGTAGTATAAGGATAACTTTTACCTAATTTTAGGGTAACTTTTTGCCTTTTTTTGGGTAACTTTATACATAATACAATTTTTTATATATATAGACAATAAGAAAAGTTTTATAATGGTAATTTAATTACATTCAATCACTAATAATTGATTTTTAGTCATTTAAAATGTGATTCTTCATTAATAATTTTTATTTGTATTGGATTACTTTTATGCATATTAGGGTAACTTTTATTTATTTCAGGGGTAACTTTTGATCAAATTAGTCTATCTTTATAGTGGATGTACAATAATTATTGTACACCAGATTTTTTTTAAAGTTTGTGTTTTTAATATTTATTTTTTAGGAAAGTCAAATTTTATATTTAGCCTACATAACATCATCATCATCATATTTTTTTTAATAATATATATATATATTTAATTATCAACCATTTTTAAACACACTAATATTTTTGAATTAGAATTAAAGAGATAATATTGTGAAAAAAAATATAAAAAATCGAGCTTGATAGATTACTTATAGTACACACACACATTGTGTGCGTCTCTTAGCTTGTATATATAAAGGCCAAAATAATAAAACTTGTGTTTTTTGATGCCCTAGTCTACCAATGTGGACGATGTTAGAGTGAATGACCAATTAGATGGAGTAAAAAGGAAGAGAATGAAAATTTTCAGTGTGGTTCGGTTTTCTTTTGAAAAACCGAATTTACAACGGTGTGGTTTGGTTCGGTTTCAATAATAATATGGTGTGATGTGATTTGAAAAATCTCAAAACCGAATTAATGTGATTTGGTTTTGGTTTTGGTTTGGACTATAAATCACACCGCTAACCGAATTTTCACCCCTATGATTGGCATATTATGGTTTTTGAATACTTTATTTGTCGGAATTTATATTTTGCAAAATTAGTAAAAGGCCATTGAGATAGATCAGTTTTTTTTTTATTTACGGAAACAAAACAAAAAAGAACAAAGAATTGAACGGTCATAGAAAATCTGTAAAAAAAAAATTTGAGTTTAGCAAAATTAGTTTAAATTAAGTAAATTTGAATATTGTAATTGTTAATTTTTATACAGCCATTGTTGATTTTGTGTACAATCATTATTTATTTGTACACGATTATTGCATATCTGATTTGAGTTTTTATGTTTTCTGTAATTTTTGTGGGTTTGATTAAATGTTATCGTTTCAACAAATTATTTTCCTTTTGTAATTATATTGTTATTTTTGATGAATTTGTAGTTATTCTTGATTTTTATACTAATTATTGTTTGAGAAAAAGAGTATTTTTATAGCGTAGTAACTAAATGAATTACTATATAACAAAAATTGCATACTCTCTTTATCAAAAAATAAATAAAAATTGCATACTCTCTATACCTCTAAGTGTAAGAGCTCCGAGGGATGCCTTGCCTTGGGCATTCTCAAATGATGGCTTGTACTCTCCACGAAGACTTCTTATATGCTAGTTACGCCGTTACGAGTTGCAATTTTGATCTACTTCACCAAGTTTGGGTTGGAATTTGGGGCCTTGATGTTTCTCCAAAGGGCAAACATCTCCTTTGGCGAGTGTGCATAAAGACGCTCCCTACTAGAGAGTTGATAGAGACTCACCAGTTGCTTGACCAAGATGCTTGTCCTTGGCACGGTCTGGCGAGTGAATCAACAAACCATGCTCTTTTTAAGTGTGGTTGAGTGCAAGATTTGTGGGAGGAAAGTGGTTGTGCATAACTATTGCAACATGATGGAGAAGATATGGCTGAATTGTTGGCTCAGTGGATGGAGGTAAGCTTAAAGCAAAAAGTAGCTTGGCATGGGTGATTTGTGGCGAAAGGAATTTGAAAATATTTCAAGGCAAATACACTCCAAATGATGTCTTGTTGGCTAGACACTAGAGACTTGTGAAGGAAAACGGTGAGTATAACAAGAAGATTTATGCCACAACCCCAAAGAGATTTAAGTCAAGCAAGACATGGGTAGCGCCACCAGTTGGAAGGGTAAAAATAAATGCTGATGCAACGTTGAGAGAGGAAGGATGGGTGGGGTGGGAGCGGTGGCCAAAGATCATGAGGGGGAAGTTGTGTTTGATGCAACAAGGAGAACACAAGCCTGCTGGTGGCCTTCGGAAGTAGCTGAAGCAAAGGCACTCTTGCTTGCTGTGAAACTTGCCAAACAACATGGGTTGGAGGAAGTAGTATTGGAGTCGGACTGCCAGGTTCTTGTGCATCATCCCTCGAAAGCTACCATTTGTCTTTGAGTTGTAATTTTAAGTCTTTTAGTTGGTCTCATTTAAAAAGGGATGATTATTCTATTGCACATCACCTTGCTAAGCTAGTGCCGTTTGGGATTGAACAAGTGCGGGTGAATCATTGCCCTTCAAAGTTCTCTCCCTATGTACTTTCGGACTATCTATACTATATATTAAAAGGCGTTCCTTTTAAAGAAACGATGCCACGTAGCACTCTTCAATGTATACCCTAAACCTCAAACAAATAAATGCTACATACTTACCATCTCACCCAACTTTTATTAGTGTTTTAAATTTCACATATTTAATATTATATATTCCTTTTAAATTAGAGGTTATTTAATTTATTTTTCACAAGATTAGAAAATAAATACATATGAAAAAAAAAACATCCGAGACAACGCCCAAATCACACACTAGCTATACAATGGTTGAACATAATTATTAAATTAAAGAAGTACAAACTAGCAATGCGGGACATTGCCCGGAACACACACTAGTTTATCCTTAAATTAATGCATTAGCTCGATTTCCCTTAAAAATAAAATAAAATAAAATAAAATACTATGTATAACTTTTTGCTTGAAAGTACATTTTTGCCTTAAGGGCCTGTTCTGATTACTGAATTGATTGAATTTGAACTGAACTAAATATTTTATGAGAAAAGAATATTAAGATGTGAATTGAATTTATTAGAGCTGAATTGAACTGAAAATAATTTGAATAGAACAGACCCTAGTCATGGTATTTTTCGGGTAGGAGGCATCACGGCTCTGGATCAAAGTAGGAAAAAAATAAATAAATAAAAATGTAAACTCACAAATAGGAGACCAAGTTCAATTGAGTGACGTTAAAGATTTCTGAATTCAAATTTTCGTTTCTTCCCCCCTTTCTCATTTCTCAACGATACACCAACTCAAAAAAGCGAGATGCAGAGAAAAATGGAGGAAAGCAGTCCACAACAATGTCAGACCACCGTCACAATCCGCCGGAATCCTCCCCGGAGAGCAAGACCCTCCGCCTCTAAGACCGCCGCAAAATCACCTTCATCTCATTCTCTCTCCTCCAAAAATCTCAACATCCCCAATTTTCCACTCGATGACATCTTATCAATAGATGTTCAGCTCTTACAAAACCCTAAAATTCCATCCCCAAATCAACCAGATTCCTCAAATTCTCTCAATGTCTTCCTCAGAGTTCGCCCCCTTCCAATTGCTCCTTCTAAATCGAAACAACCCATTTCGAAAAAACCCAGTAAGAGTTGCCTTACGATCAATGACGATTCTCACTCTATTACGATTATTCCCCCAATTTGCGATTCTAATAGGTTGAAGTCTGAAGTTTACAACGGATTTTCGCATGTTTTTTCTTCAGATTCTTCTCAGGTTTGTTGTTTGAATTTCCCCTCGTTTTTAGGATTTCCTTATGTGATTGATCGATTGATCGCATAATTTTTTAAGTGAATTGTGGTTATATATATGTGTAGGATGAAGTGTATGATAAGCTCATGAGACCTATGGTTGAGAGGTTTCTAAATAAAAAAAGCGGGCTTTTGGCTGCTTTAGGGCCTAGTGGTTCTGGGAAAACTCACACCGTTTTCGGGTCTGTCAACCAACCCGGTTTGGTTCCTCGTGCTCTTCGCCACATTTTCGATGCTGAAGCCAGTAAATCGTCCATGATATCGAGGTGATTATGTTCACATTTTGCTTTTTGAGGTTCAATTAATAGTACTACATATAGTATTTGTGTGAGATGGTAATTCGTTTTTTTCTCGATGTTGCTCTTTAGAAGTCTTTGTTGTGTGATGTTATTAAAGGTAGTTCTGTGCTTTTATGATAATCCCTTTTGTAGGTAACTGCTATGGATTCATGTAAACATATTTAGATGGTGTTATGAGTGTTGCAAACTGAAGAAAGAACCAGAAAAATATAGGAAGCTTTTATTGAACTCCATTAATGGCAGAGAGTAGTAGCTTCATTACAAAGATGAAAGGAGGAAAAATAGAATGAGAGAAAAAATATTGAATATATTCAATGTAAAGAATAATACAGTAGCTTATATATTTGCTATGTATTTATTACAACTGACTCAAGCACTAAAAGCATCTAACTAGTTATGCTGAGCTAGCAACGGGTAGTTTGTAACAAACTAACAACACGTGCTTCACACCCCCCCTCAAACTTGGGATGGCTGAAACATACCAAGTTTGGTCTTCAAGGCTTCAAACTGACCTGAAGGCAATATCTTTGTCATAATGTCAGCTGAGAAGTAAAAGGTAAATAAGTGAGCTGGAGCAGACCTTCTAGAACCTTCTCCCTTGTGAAATGACAATCAATGTCAATATGCTTAGTCCTTTCATGGAATACTGGGTTTCTGGCAATGTATAAGGCTGGCTGACATATTGTCACAGTGGAGCTGCACAGGCTTCAAATCTCTTACACCAAGTTCACCAAGAATTCTGACTAGCCAAGTTACTTCTGAAGCAGCAGAGGCCATAGCCTTGTATTCAGCTTCTGATGAAGACTTAGAAGTGGTTGGCTGCTTCTTAGACTTCCAGCTGATAGGAGAGTTACCTAGCATCATCACATAACCTGAAATTGACCTTCTTGTATCAATACAGGTTGCCCAGTCTGAATCACTGTAGGCCTGTAACTTTAGATCCAAACCACCCTTGAACAGAATGCCCTGTCTAATTGTTGCAGCAACATAGTTTAATGTATGATGCAGAGCCTGTAAATGAGAACTTCTAGGAGCTTGCATAAACTGACTTAGGTTCTGAACTGTAAAAGCTAAGTCAGGTCTTGTGTGTGTTGAAAAATTTAACTTTCCCACTAAGCACCTGTAATGAGAAGGATCTTCCAATAAATCACCACTGCTAGCTTCTAACTTCAGATTAAATGGTAATGGAGTGACAACAAGCTTGAAACTTGAAATTCCACATCCTTCAAGTAGCTCTCTAGTGAACTTAGTTTGTGACATAGTGACTGCATTATCTTCATATCCAATCTCCATCCCCAAGAAGTAGTTCAGAATTCCAAGGTCCTTGATGGTGAAAGTATTGTGCAGATGAGCCTTCAAGAAATTAACTTGATGTAAATCATTTCCTGTGAGATTATATCATCAACATAAACAGCAACAATTACTATTGAATTTGCTATTTGTTTGATGAATAAAGAATAATCATCTTTGGATTGAACATAACCCAAAAACTTTAGTTCAGAAACCAGCTTCTCAAATCATTGTCTGCTGGCCTGTTTCAAACCATAGAGTTATTTTCTCAGTTTACACACTTTGTTGCTAGGATTTGGCACTCCCTTAGGCATCTTCATGTACACCACTTCATGCAACTCTCCATGAAGGAATGCATTATTGACATCCAACTAGAAAATCTGCCAACCTTTGTGCACAGCCAAAGCTATAATACATCTGACAAAAGCCATCTTGATTACAGGAGAAAAAGTCTCCTCAAAGTCAATACCATACTTCTGATTATATCCCTTAGCAACTAACATGGCTTTAAACCTTTCAATAGAACCATCTTTCTTCAGCTTGACTTTAAAAACCCATTTTGACCCTATTACTTTCTTCCCTTTTGGAAGATCAACCAGAATCCAAGTCTTGTTCTGTTCCAAAGCTTGTAACTCTTTCATCATAACCTCTTCCTAGTTCTTGTCACCAGCAGCTTCTTTATAAGACACAGGCTCTTTGACAGATAACACCTTAGCAATCATAGCTTTGTGATTATCAGAATAAGAAGTAAAAGCCACCAAATTACACCAGTGAGCTGTATGAACAACTGCATTCCCACAGACATATTTATCCATCCAAGCTGGAGTTTTTCTTGGTCTTGTGGACTGTCTAATTGTATTAACACCTTGAGAAAGATTAACAACAGTAGATTGAACATTAAGTTGTCTAGAGCATGTCACTTCAGAACTTGTTATGTCACCAACTGGAGCATTTTGTTCAATGAAAACAACAGGAATAATATCATAAAAAAAGAAGGAAATGGTGTATGAGCTGGAAGAAAGAAAGGTGTGGGATTTGGATTTGGATTTTCTGAAAGGTGAAAGGGAAAGTGTTTCTCATGAAACACAACATCTCTTGACACTGTAATTTTTGTAGAGGACAGGTTTAGAACCTTATACCCCTTGTGAGTAGGTGAGTAACCAATGAACACACTAGCATCAGCTCTAGAATCCAGTTTTGATCTATGTTGTTTTGGTGTTGAGACAAAACATAAACACCCAAAGGCTCTTAAGTGACTGTTATTTGGTTTATGACCATGTAACCTTTCATAGGGTGTTAAATTACCCAAACTCTGAGATGGCATCCTATTTATCAGATATGAAGCACACTGAACACACTCACCCCAGTAGCTCATAGGAAGCTTTGACTGAAAAAATAAAGCTCTTCCCACTTCTAACAAATGTTTATGCTTTCTTTCAACTACTCCATTTTGCTGAGGAGTGTCACTACAACTTCTTTGATGTAGAATGCCTTTGGCAGTATACAACTGCACAATTTTGCCTTCACACAACTCCTTAGCATTATCACTCCTTATTATTTTCATAGAAGCATCATACTGTTTCTCAACATAATTAACAAAATTAACCAAAACATCAACTGATTCTGACTTAGATTCGGCAAATGAACCCAAACATTCCTTGTAAAATCATCAACTATTGTCAAAAACATATTACACTTATTATGAGTCATAGTCTGATAAGGAACCCAGACATCAATGTGTAAAAGCTCAAATGGTGCAGAAGACTTTATACTACTATGAGGAAAAGAATTTCTATGTTGCCTAGCAGCAGGACAAATACTGCAGATTATATCACTTGAAACTCTACCACAATCTACACTATCTTGCACCAGATTCAACGGACTAAATGGCAAGTGACCCATTCTAAGATGTAACAATTTAGCTTGATCTATAACACTAGTACAAGCAGTACCTGAAGATTCTGTAGCTGCTGCTCCAATTCTTATTCCTTTACCAACTTCAGCAAAATACAAACCATTCCCTACTTTACCAAGAACAAGTGGAGGTGTCATAGAGTGTTGATCCTGAACAACACACATATTACATTTCCCATCTTGACAAAGCTTACTGATAGAAATCAAATTGAACTTGAAACAAGGCACAAACAACACATTTTCAAGAACTATATTCTCACTCAACTTAACTATACCAACATGTGTTACTTGAACCTTAGACCCATCAGGAATAGTTATGAAATTATTTAAGTCATTAACTACCCTATATGAATCAAATAAATCCAAATTGTAACACATATGATCACTTGCACCACTATCCACAATCCAACCAGAACTATAAGCAGATGATAACATACAATAGTTACCTGCAAAGAGAGCATTTCCATCACCATTTTCATTCATTGACTCTTCCTTCTGTGTGTGTGTGTTGAGAAAACTTCTGAACTGACTGAGCTCTTCCATAGTAAAATTACCAACATCAGGTGCAACAGATTGTACAGGAACCTCAAGCAAACTACCACCAGAATGATTCTCTTGTTACTCTGAACTTGATTATAACCAGTTTGCCCCTTGTAACCAGGTGGAAATCCATTCAACTGAAAACACCTTTCCATACTATGCCAGTCATCTTGCAGTGATCACAAAAATAATTGATTGTCCTTTTCACTCCACCTCCTCTATTAGACTGATTGATTGTCCTTTTCACTCCACCTCCTCTATTAGACTGATTCTGCTGGAAACCTTCTCCTCTATTAACTCCACCTCTACTAAAACCTCCTCTATTATACTGATTGCCCTGATATCTGTTATCAAACCTCTTTGCGGCAAAAGCTACAGGTTCAACATTCTTCTGAGACAAATTACTTAGTTCTCTGTGCCTCTCTTCTTGTAAAACCATCTTGTAAGCTTGTGCCAAAGTAGGCAAAGCAGGCATCATCAAAATATTTGATCTAACATTTGTATAATTGTTAGTCAACTTCATCAAGAAAACCATCAACCTCTGATCTTGCTGAACTTTCAAGTACTTTTGTGCCAAATTACAGGTACAACTGGAACAAGAACATACAGGTAATGGACAAAGATTATCCAATTCATCCCACAACTTCTTAAGCCTGTTATAATACTCAGAAATAGAGTCTTCATCTTGACTAGCATTAGCCAAATCTTGCTGTAGCATACAACTGTGCAGAAGAAGCATGCCTAAATCTTTCTTCCAAATCCAACCAAATTTCTCTTGCTGTGTCAACAAACAAAATACTACCAGCAATCTGTGGATCTAAAACAGCTATAATCCACACTATAATCATACTGTTACACCTATTCCATGCCCTTAAAGTCACAACATCAGTACTAGCAGGTTTAGACAATGTTCCATCTACAAACCCCATCTTATTTTTAGCTGTTAAACCAATGATCATGGACCTCTTCCTATTACCATACCCATTACCATCAAAAACACTAGAAACAAGCTTCATCCCAGTAAAGTCAGAAGGATGCAAGTAATATGGACTAGTTGGATCTTGATTCAAATAAAGAACTCTATCATTTCCAGCCATTTTTAAGAAGCAATTACACAAACACAATGTGTGCACAAAAAATTCAGAATCAACAACCTCAATTAATTCAATCGATTCACTCAGCTAACAAACCCAGAAACAATTTGTTTTAATCAGAATAACAAT